ATATACATATATATAAATACAAACTTATACTAATGCTTGTTCGCGCGTAGATATATTTGGTCAACTATAAATATATATAATGAACAATTATCCAATTCGGTGAGGATACATTGCAAGTACAGTATTACACCATATTTGCGTCATGTGGGTTGATATGAGAAGACATTTATGGTTCATAACTTAACAACGTTCTTTAATGAATTCAAATAGTGACTTAGGACTTGAAGTCAAATGAACCCCAAGGGTACAATCATACTTGTACTATAACCTATTCGCATCTGTAGCTGTTTGTGATCTTTATTTGTATATGAAGTACATTCACATACTTGTATTTATATCATACATGCTTATTTGCACGTAAATATTGTTAGATATGTGTTGATAATTTTTTGTATGTGGACTTCAGAATACGCCCGCGTATAATTCGGGCACATTAATCAGTAACACTGCCCAACTGTCAGTTTATTAGTAGGATCCACTACAATATTTTAAGTCAACAGCCTGTTTCAGCATAGCCTTCTATACTATCTTAACGATTAATAAATTATAATTCCAACGATGGATTGGCAATTGACGATTCATCTTTGTACCTCACCGGTGTCACTTTGAGCGTGACCGGTACGATGGTATTATCGCTCTCTACCAGGACGTATATCCTGGAGAACATATGAATAGTTTGCACTCCCGTGTCCTCAGTCATCCCTGTCCGGGCGGAAAGAACGTATTGTTAGGATGTATTCTGCGCTTAACACAGCTATTCGAAGTCGGCCACTTCAGCTAATAACGCCAGCTCACTTAAAATAAACTAATACATTTCTCAATCAAACGTATGGACCAAGTTATTAAGAATCGAAAACCTTCTTGACTTACCTATAAAATGAATTGCCGGCACGTTTGGCCCCCAATGTAGCTCAAGAACCTTACTTTGCTTAGAAAAATTCACCAAATCTTCTCGCAAGCCATCCAGCTTATCGAAATGTACACGCTGCTCTATGCCAAAATCAGGAATATACACGTCGAAGGCAGCGTCCAAGACTCCAACCACCACGGCTTCCTGCGCAGAATAGCGTACAAAACATTGCAATCAATCAAACTGCATAGTTGCTGATAGTCAGTTAACACGCAATCGATTAACCACGGGAGGCACCAATCAAGAAAATACGATCATTATTTACCTTACGCATACCCCCACGAACCCTCAGAAGAGAGCATAAGAATATTTTGTCAGACTGTTCTTGGGCGCTCTTAGAAGCTTGTTTTTGTTCATTGCAGTGCTTTGCAATGTTGGCGAGAACTGCCGGACTTCGCAACTTTTCTGACGATTGTACTGCAATAGAAACGTGAATCTGTTAAAAACGAAACACAGGCTAGTGTATAGCAGCATAAGCGTGCAGTGTCGAATTTGTGGTAAAATTAAAAAAAAGCCTATGCCCGTGAGTAAAAGATATCCCTTTTCTAACAGACTTACTCAAGGTGGACCATAGCATACGATGTACCACCACATCAGCATAACGGCGTATAGGCGACGTGAAGTGTGTGTAGAGAGGCATCGCCAATGCATAATGACGGGTTGTATTCATAACCACCTCATTGTGGTGCATCTTCTCACCCCGATTCTCCAATAATTCTTTAATCTCGTCAACAGTCATTTCTACAACGCAAAGATAAAAAAAAAAGAGCAAAAAATACCTTCAAAAATGAAATAACCAAAATAACTGCATATAGATGCCACTACAAAATATATTGTATACACCAGTACAGCAAGTATTGCACCTTGACTGAGCATACCATCGAAGTCATAGACCGGCTTATCTTCTTGAGGTGTGTTTTTGTCCAATATCACCGCCTTCTGCAGTTCTACCGCGTAAGCCTTTTTTACCGCTGGAGGAGAGAAATTAAGCATTGCGTATGCAAATCAGTACTCATAATGTTTTTCACAACAATATACAATCGCACTAGTTTGGATATATGATCACATGATTCGAATTTACACATTAAAACAAGATTCAACATACCCGCGCCCTCACAGATGTATTCTGCAAGCTTCATAGGCTTGGTAAGGAATTGCACAACAGTTTTCTTCGCCGCTTCGTTGTTCAGGTCATACGTCACCTGCTTCGTCTTTAGAAAAACAGTAGAGTAATATTTTTTACCGTCCCTTAACCTTTTGCAACATAAGAGTTGTATTAAACAAGACAACAAACTGATTTCTGTATGCTTACTTCCTTCTTCCGAATTTCTTCTTTCGCCATTCTCATAAGCGACTCGTGTATTTTAGCCGAACTTCGGCCTTCAATGACAACTCCACAGGCTGCCAGTGCTGCAACTGCTTTGCTAATTTGTTTCTCTGCGCGAGTAAAATTTTGTCAGACGAGTGCTACCTCACAGATTTTGTTAATACATATAAATGAGTATTACGCATTAAACACTGCGCTCCAGCCTACCCTGCACTCTTCAGGCGAACTTACATACCGTCTGGTCCAAGTTGTCGACGAAGGAACGCATGTGATGGTAGTTTATCATGCAATTGTCGAGCGACGCTGCAATTCGCCAACAACATGAATTCTTCTACTAATCGATTCGAGTCTTTCTGCACGTCACAATGAGAGTTCCAGTTGTGTGTCAGATCAGATGTGAAGAAAGAAGAAGAGAGGGATAGAGAAGAGAAAATGCTGAGCGGTACTTGATCAGCTTGCCATTCATTACGCACCTGCTCATAAGTTCGGAAGTCTTCCGGTAGCCCACTTTCGTCCAGACGAAACATCAACTTCACATTGTCCAACTTAAGCTAAAAAAATAAGAAAATCGAGGATACTTAGTACACGATTAGACCTTTTTTAAAAAGCAAATGCTATTGGGTTGTTTAACTCGATCACACTACCCGCCAACGTATATTGGACTATAGGTGATACGATGAAATATTCAAGTATGTTATTCTGTATGTGTTGAGTTTAGTCGACAATCGTACCGAGCCATTATTAAAGCGCCTCTTTCTCATCTGGAGCGCTAAGTTGTTCAATAGTATTACATCTTCCGCACACTCCATCGCAGTATGATCTCCAGATACTTCAGGGATCTCTGCAGCGATACCTGGTATAGATGGACCAATCAGAGCCATGTTAATTGTGGACAAAGCGCCATTTGATTTATGCATCTGTCAATCGAGTGATATTCAATTATAAAGCCTGTACATTAAGTCCCTACCTTCAAAAGTATTTCCTGCCGCGTCCTTGCTTATACAGAGCTGTGCATCTTCATAGCTCATCTTGATACACGACTTGATGATGGACCTCGCAAACCAGGTATCGAGGACTTTGCCTGGAAACACAATGGTAAGAAAAGACTGAGATGACAATCCTATTCACTGGGTAATTCAAAGAATGCACGCCAACTTAGCCTAAAAGCTCAGCGCCGCTATCGCCAGAGACTTCATAAATCAGCGAATTAAAAACTCAGATGGCGGTATTATTGAGAAGAAACCCGCGCTTTCCCTTACCATGTACGTCCATTCTCCAGAAAACAGAGAATGCTAGTCGCTCAACACCAGGATTCAGCGAACACAGCTGTTCGCACAGTAATCTTGGCAGCTGAACGCGAATAAAAGGTACGTTAGTAAAGATCATCAGGTTATACGTTTAAAGGCCAAAGGTGACGATAAATAGACCGATGAACTATGCGAAGATAAGATAATTCGAGAAACCATCATGCCATACCATCGGATAGTTTCGTTGCACAAGATAGACAGTTGTAGCCCGCCGTTCAGCCTCTGCATCTAGTGCAGTGTCCGCCTTCACAAAGAACGTCACCTGTAAATCGAAGCGATACATATTGTATCAAATAGTACGTGCAAACAAAACCAATTGTTTATATGCTCCTATACCTCATACATTGTAATAATAGAAATAGCATTGCCATTTGACGGAACAAGAATTTCTAATTTGTGAAGAACAACGGATTTCTGCTATGAAGCAGTAATCCTCACACCTGCGACATGCACGTAGATAGATACGGTAGAACACCTAAAAAATGAGCGACGTTGACTAGAAGGGCCATACACCTGCAGTATATGCGAAGTTAAATAATTTTTACCGAAATACATACGTCTGCAATATGAACGCCCACAATAAATCCTCCGTCGTCACTGCGTTTGATTGAAAGAGCATCGTCGAGATCCATTGCGGTGGCTGGGTCAATGGTAAAAACACGTTCGTGACGTAGATCCGTCCGCGTTTCATATTCTTCAGCCGGAATACTCCAAGGCTGCACCAGATGACAACAGAAGGCATACAGTAATTGATCGCAAACTGAATCAGGGGTTCATGATCCTTAACACGTGTAAAATATTAGAAAAGAACTCACAGCGAAGGACAGAATAAGACTTAAATGTCATACCGTAGGTGGCAGACAAGCAATTGCTTCATCTGAGAAAGGAGCGGTCTCCACGGCATACTGCACCAGAAGCGCCTTAGTCTCTGCATCTACATCCCCGTTCTCACCTGTGAACCAAATCAAATTATTCAGTGCTCATTCTAAATGTAAAATGCAAAACTTTCAGAATTTGATTGAGTCCTCCTTACCCAAGTTTTCTCCTAGTTCTCCTATTGCCATCATGGATTTCTTGTGCCACTCACGGATCTTCGCGCTAAATAATTGGGTTTTGTATTTCTCTGTCAACTCTTTTGAGTCTGCGTTTATCAGATCAGTGGGAGCCGTGTCCACCGGAATCATCAATCGGGGAACCTGCCAGAATCGCAAAACAAAAATATAGTGATACATACGTGAATTCGCAATGCAATCACGAGGTCAACAACCGTAACTCCTTGTTTTACAAACCACTATTTTCATACCTTGGTGTCCAAAGGTCTGAAGCCAAAATGGCCCTGATCCACACGGGGCCCATTCAGTGGCATAAACACTCCGATAACAATTCTATTATGGACCTCTCGCTCAATCCGCAGCACCTGTTTTTTTTAAGCATTGGAAACCACAGACTTTAGCTGACCACAATGAGTGCAAGTTCACAAAAGTGAAATAGACAACCTCAAGCAGCGATACCAACACCCAACCGAGTACTACTAGTCAGTGGACTCACCCTTCCGGTTTTTCGCAGGAATTCCGAAGGGTACTCCTTAGCGTCGTCAGTCAACTGTCGTTCTTCCGTCTCTGTAAGGATCATAGCATTCGCAAAGTCGGCCTTCAATGGTCTCCATCTGCGGTATGCAATTGAACCATGCGTCACTATTTGAAATGTAGGGGAATCTTCTAGCGAGAGAAGACCCCTAATTGCCGCACAAGCGGATAGGGTACCTGCAACCAGGTGATACACATGCACTATAATGAGAACGCAGCCAGAGAAAACCGTTATTAAAAAAGAAACACATACTCGTCGCGTGGCAGTAGCTCAATCATGACCTCATCTCCGTGCAAGGCTCGATTGCGATGATGCTGTGACGGAAGCAGCACATCGCCATCTAATGCAGCCACTGGGACGTATGCCTCCCTGTGATCATAACATAAAAAAAAATTGTGAGCCATATTGATGCCAGTAAAAATTGCAATTGTAAATATTGGAATTGAAATTGTTAACAATGATGTCATATAAATTTAACACAGATGCGCTCAAGGAATCGGGGGGTCATGATATTTGACATAAACGATGACATCGAATCCGCGTGCGGCAGATGAAGTAGACGGCAGATCGGATATACTATGCAGAGACGACTTCCTATACATTAGAGTACTATATTCTGCTATGCGCACCGAATATGCATGTCAAACCAAAACCACACAACACATGTTCAAAAACACATCATGATATGATACACTACTCGCTTACAGCACTGGCGACTTCCAGAATAAGAAAGAGTATTTATTGTATCTATTAACGCCGAAACGGTACAAAAGAGGCGACTAATTGACTATAATTGTACAATATTTTTCAGCTTGTTCTACCAAGAATATAAAAACACAGGCGCTCGATACGAAATGGTGATACCCAACACTGTCACGAAGCACATAATTCAACTATGTTCGCGACACTGATGATGTACAAGCAATTATGACCATACCAAACGGAGGACGTTTGGCTTACTGAGCTCGTATATCAGAGAAAGAACCCACCTGTAGTTCTTCTGGTTGATTCTTAATTTACCGACGAACACCTCTCCCGCTTTCAGCTTACGTACTCCTTCCTGCTCCGTGATGTAGGTCTCGAAATGAAGCGCATGTTTTTGACTATTGTTCACTCTGTGGCTATTGCTTCCTCTATTGCTATTATTGTTCCCCTTGTGAGGCTGTCGGTTATCCCCATTCTTACGCTTCGCACTGGGTGATTTAGGTGTGTTATGTACATCTCCATGCGAACGCGACTTATTTGAGGGGTTTTCCTTGGAATTGCGATGCTTATTTCGAGCTTTGTTGGGAGCCTTCCCTTTCAATGACCTCGAACCCTCCGATGCTTGAGCAGCAAAGCATTCATCAATTTCACCTTCGTCTTCGCCATGACCTATACAATGAGAACAGATGAAAAAAGATACGTATATGTAATTTGCCAAACATTAACCGCGTTCTTAACAGGGCATAGAAGATAATGCGGTGGTTTGTAAGACATAGATATGTGATATCTGCAAGTAGGAAAAAAGTAGAAAAACTACAGGGCACCCGCGAGGGTAAAATCAAATAAGATGTTAATATATATATATAAATGCTCGTGGTCAAATACTTATCTATATACATACGCTGACTTCCGGGATGTTTTTTCCGGGTATGCTTTTTGTCTTTCTTCTTTGAATCGGAACTACCTAGAGTGGGCAATAAAATTCTATTCCTGCGAACGACATATTACAAAATATGAGAACGACATTTTTACTGTCCATTCCAGAAAGATATAGACAGCTCAACTTAGCAACGCCCGACGTAATTTAGTAAGATCGTTTA